TGCTCATGCTGTAGGTGGATCACGAGGTTATGCTTACAAATGATCGTTGTCAGAACAAAGTTTGAGTCCCATGGCACCTTTAAGACGGACAGCGTTTTATTCAAAGTGTAAGCTTTGGTGTGAATGCACAACTCTTCAGGCAAATGGAATAAGATCTCCTCATGGGTTACTTACAGGAGAAAAGAGGGTGGCGGCCAGTGTTCCCTCTAAGCTGAGTTAGTGTGAGCTAGCTCATGGTTTTTTAGCCTCCGGCTCACACATTTTTGTCTTAGCTCAGGAAGGAGGGCTCCAGAGCAAACTAATCGATGCAGGAGCCAAATGGCTCGCTCACAACTTTAGTGCCAGTAGCTCAGAAAGTAGAATTCTTGCTCACAAGACTCCCAGCTTAGAACATTGGTGGCGGCAGCCATTAGGGAGGGCCCCCTCAGAGCCCAGATGCATATGCAGAGCTGAAATTGGATCAGGCCGCCGGTAAGATCAATGGATGGCAGCAAATTAGTGCGTAAGTGCAAGAGTTAACAAAGGTGAGAAGGAAGATGAACATGAACGTCATCTTATAAGTTATAAGTGATGGCCACATGACAGATCTTATAAGTTATATGTGTTCTCCAGGTGACAGAGATCAGTTCACCTGCAGAAAATGGCCATTTTGAAAAGTTGGAGTCTAGGGCATCATACCCTATTGAAGTCCCTCCCCTCCCCAAACCCCACCCTCAGCCTTCAACCCCCAAATCTCCAGGTATTTCCCAATCCGGAGCAGGGAATGCTATTTATACTCCCAAGCAGAGGTCATTTCGGGGGGAATCGCGGGGGATCGCAGTTCCCCCGGGTGAGGTACAGGGGGCGGGGCACATGACAAAGCCCCGCCCCCTGCTTCCAGCCGGCCGCCCCGCTTCCAGCCCTCATTCAGCCAGGAGGAGCCAGGAGAAGAGGGAGGGTAAGTTGCTTCCTCCCTGCCTCTCCCCACCCCTGCCTGCCTGGGGCCAGGTGTTAGCAAGCTAGTGCACAACCTTCCCTGCTTAGGGTTTCCCCCCCCTCCCTCATGTTCCTTAGTGATACCCAACTGCGCATGTTTGCTGGCATGATGAATCGCACGTTTGCTTGTCTCATGCATTCCTTTCTATGAACGCTAGTGTTGCTTTGAACTATGGTAATCAGCAAGGTCACAGGTGCGGGGAACAGTTGGCTTCACTTAGTCTATAATGAATTAAAGTGTGAGAAGAGCGTAATTGTTTATCTTTTAGGAACCGTTGATTCTCAGGCTATGGGCGCGAATATGAGAGTCCACCCGCGCGAGCGGGAACCATGTCCATTGGTTATTGCCAGTATGAATCTGCTTTATTATTCTTTGCCCCGACCGTTGTAGTTATTCCAAACAGTGAATGTGTTCCTGCTTCATCATGGCTTCAATGAAATAATACTTTGCTACAAACATGTACAACCGTGTATTCGATTGACAGCTGTGGGGGGATCGTACACCAGGGAGGGCCTTCGCGGGGCTTCCTTGCACTCCTGCCGGCCGGGACCATTGGAGCGGGGTGTGTGGCCTTATGACACACGTCCGGTGATGTCAGGGGGGGGGGCCTTATGACACACGTCCGGTGATGTCAGGGGGGGGGGCCTTATGACACACGTCCGGTGATGTCAGGGGGGGGGGCCTTATGACACACTTCCGGTGATGTGAGGGTGTGTGGCATATGCTAATGAGTTATGCTAATGAGTTCCCCTAGCTCTTTTTGTAGGAAACGACCCCTGCTCCCAAGCAATGGTCCCTCTAAGCTGTGGAGTCTTGTGAGCAGAAATTCTACTTTGTGAGCTATTGGCATTAAAGTTGTGAGTGAGCGATTTGGCTACTGCATAAATTAGTTTGCTCTAGAGCTATCCTTCCTGAGCTGAGACAAAAATGTGTGAGCCAGAGGCTAAAAAACTGTGAGGTAGCTCACACTGACTCAGCTTAGAGGGAACACTGCTCCCAAGGCCTAGTTCTGGCCCAGCTTCAGCCTCAAATCCCAGAGAATATGGTGGCAAAAAGATTGAAGTGGTGGAAATGGGTTCCCTCACTTCAGACTACAGGTAGGGTTGCCAGCCTATTGTTGTTTACCTTGACTTCCAGAAAGCTTTTGATAAAATTCCTCATCAAAGGCTCCTAAGTAAGCTCAATAGTCACGGAATAAAAGGACAAGTCCTTTTGTGGATCAAAAACTGGCTGATTAATAGGAAACAGAGAGTGAGTATAAATGGGCAATTTTCTCAGTGGAGGGTGGTAAGCAGTGGGGTACCGCAGGGATCAGTACTCGGTCCGATGCTTTTTAACTTGTTTTTAAAGTTGGGAGTAAGCAGTGAAGTGGCTAAATTTCCAAATCACACGAAGTTGTTCAGGGTGGTGAGAACCAGGGAGGATTGTGAGGCACTCCAAAGGGATCTGTCGAGGATGGGCGAGTGGGCGTCAATGTGGCAAATGGGGTTCAATGTGGCCAAGTGCAAAGTGATGCACATTGGAGCAAAAAATCCTAACTATAAATACACGTTGATGGGATCTGAACTGGCAGAGCCTGACTAAGAGAGAGATCTTGGAGTCATAGTAGATGACTCAATGAAAATGTCAAGACAGTGTGTGACTGCAATAAAAAAGGCCAACACTATGCTGGGGATTATTAGGAAGGTGAAAAGTACGCAGACGGAGAGTGATTTCAGCAAAGCGTACTTTATTCGATCAGAAACAAGACGACTTTGGCCGGCTCGCAGGCCGGCTTATATTCCCCGAGGAACCCATTTCCACCACCTCAATCTTTTTGCCACCATATTCTCTGGGATTTGAGGCTAGGATCCGCATAGTCCATTGTCTCTTGGAGCGAAGCTCGACGTTTGTGCCTGACCGCGTGGAGCCCAAGCTTGTCTTATTATTGTATCTCGGAGCCTATATACAAATATTGCTTGACCACTGAAGAAGGCCACTTTGGCCAAAATGCATCGGGTCGCAATAGGTCCCACTTGTGTATGTTGTACACTTTTATTCTGTATTGAGGATGCAATTGGGCCCGTAATTGTTTTTAACTAATTGATAATAAATAATGTATTTTTTTATAATATTTAAGTTTTAAATTTGTAAGAATACTTTGCATGTAACATCCTGACTGTTCCCTGGAGGGCCAGATACTGAAGCTGAAGCTCAACTAATTTGGCCACCAAATGAGAAGGCAGCACCCACTGGAGAAGACCCTGATGCTGGGAAAGACTGAAGGTAACAGAAGAAGGGGACGGCAAAGCATGAGATGGTTAGACAGTGTTATCAATGCAACAAACATGAAATTAAGCAAACTCCGGAGCACGACGGAAGACAGGAGGGCCTGGCGCGATGTGGTCCATGGTGTTGTGAAGAGTCGGACTGGACTGTGCGACTGAACAACAACAACAACATCCATGCCCTGTATGATCTACTACCTTTCCACAGGGCTTGTAAGTCAGAGATATTCCACCAGGCCTTTGGTTGAGGACAGCCACTAATGTGGCACTTTCATACCTCCCACTTCCCCTCACCTACCCCTTAGGTGGCTATGGGGAAGCTACAATTCCCCCCCCCCTGAAATTTTTGCCATCTTGGAACAGACTGTCTTTATGTATCGATTGTATTTTATTATGGTTTTAACTTAAATCTAAATTATCTGTTGTTTTTAAAAAGGTAAAGGTTCCCTTGCTCGAAAGCCAGTCAAGTCCGACTCTAGGGTTGCGGTGCTCATCTCCGTTACAAAGTCGAAGAGCCAGCGCTGTCCGAAGACGTTTCCGTGGTCATGTGGCCGGCATGACTAAACACCAAGGCGCACGGAACGTTGTTCCCTTCCCACCTAAGTGTTACCTATTTATCTACTTGGAATTTCTTGCTTTCGAACTGCTAGGTTGGCAGGAGCTGGAACTAGAGACGGGAGCTCACTCCGTCTTGCGGCACCCGGGTCTCGAACTGCTGAACTACTTCCACAGCCTGCAGTTCAGTGTCTTAACCACTTGAGACACCACAGCTTTTTTTACCTTGTTGTAAACCACCTTGAGCCCTGCCCGCAGCCTAAAAGTCTAAATTAATAAATAATGAATAACCTTCCAGGTACTTTATTAATTTGTTTAGGTTAAGCCCCCACCCTTTTCTCCGCTCCCACAATCTCCAGGTATTTCCCAACCTGGAGCTGGCAACCCTAGCTGTGGCATTTTGGGGGGTTTTTTGCTTAACTTCTCTCTGGCAAGTTGATAGTCTAGTATGGAGATCTGTGTTTGTTCTTTTTACAGATCCCAGTGGGGTTGCCAGGTCTGGGTTGGAAAATACCTGGAGACTTTGGGGGTAGAGCCGGGAGAGGGCGGGGTTTGGGGAGGGGAGGGTCCTCAGCAGGGTACAAGGCCACAGAGTCCACCCTCCAAAGCCGCCATTTTGGATCTCTGTCAGCTGGAGATCAGCTGTAAAAGCGGGAGTTCTCCAGGCCCCACCTGGAGGCTGGTAACCATGGATCCCAAGCGTGCGGAAGGGGAAAATGTAAATACGTTAATTTCACCTCAAACCGGAAGGTGCCTCTCTAACCTGCCTCTCTAGCCCTTTCCGCTTTCTCCATCTCCTATAGACATTCACATCCGGCCCCGTCTATCAATCACCCAGGCGCTCTCCGGACCTGTTTTCAGCCACATAAGCCACACCTACCATTTCCCTTCCCTCTCCAAAGCACCGCCCATCAAGACTTTGCCCCGCCTCCGCGAGTCTATGAGCCACTCCCCCCCCGCGCCCCGCTTTTCCTAATCGGACCAATCGAGAAGCGCGCGAGAACCAGGCTACTAGCCAATCGGGAAAGGGTTCGGAGGCAGAAGGGGGAGGACCCAATCAGGACGCCGCGGCTTTGACGACGTAATGCTCCAAAACCCAATCAGCGCTACCGGCGGTGGCGTTTGAAAGCAGCGGTTGGATAGCTGGGAGGGTGGGGATAGCGTGCGCGAGGGAAGATCGAGGCGGCGCGCGCGGGGGGCTCCGCCCAGCTCTCTAACGGACGGCTCCTGAGAGGCCTGGAGCGCTGGTTCGGGGGGTCGCTCTCGCGGGGTCTGCCGGGATACTTCCTTGAGGGGGGGGGCGTGTCGTCATGTCGCACAAACAGATCTATTATTCCGACAAGTACGACGACGAGGAGTTCGAGTACCGGTGAGAGGCGGGGCTGGAGCCGAAGGGGGCGGGGTCTGGGGGTTAATGGAGCGCTGAACGTGGTTGGGGGTTCTGGGTGCCATAGCAACGATCAAGGGGGGAACGGCAGGGGGGGGTGGTCTGGGGGAATTAGGACGCTGGGCTCCCTCTCTGAATCTTCGGTCAGGTCCAGAAGAGACTTTCCAATGCTGTTCTTTAATTTTTGCCTTGCAGTAGTTGAGGGCATCAGCGGTTGGTTGCGCTGGCTGGCACCCTTCTCCCCCCTCCCCCGGTATATTTCGTTTTAAGTTACCTCTCCCCCCCCTTTCTCATTAAATGGCCAGGCAGTCCGCAATTGGAATAGAGATTTGTAAGTCGCCCTCTTGGATCTTCTTACTCTGGTTTTAGTTCTTTATCAATCTGTATAGGGAAACTTCAAAATCTGTATCTTTATTTTGTGGCATTAAGCCCCTGATACATCACCCAGAACCTGGTGTAAGCTGGGATAGGGTGATTAACAAATCAAAATAACAATAACAACAACAACATCTGTTCTGAGTTCAGAGGAAGTCTGTCTCCGTGTATCAGTCACTGGTGGAGACAGACTGAGACAGGGGGTGGCTTTGGCCCTTGTGACCGGCTTGTAGACCTTCTTGGGTTAATCAGCGTGTGAAACAGGAATGATGAACTTCATGGACCTCTAGTCTGACCTTCCAAGGCTATTTCTATATTCAGTTCAACATTGTCTAATGAAATTATAAATATTGTGCTTATATTTGAGTGGTTGGGGGAAAGGTGCACATCTGAGGGGTAATCTCAGTGAAGAACTTTCTAATAATAAGTTTCCAGGTTATCTACAAATACAACTTTAACCTTTAGTGGAAATTAGTATATCTTTATCCCTTTCTCCGGGGAATTTAGAATGACACATGTAAGTCATCCTACTCCTAATGAAACATCTGATGAGCAGTTTGATCTCATTGATTTTGGTGATTTACAGTGTAGCCCTACAAAGTCCCGTGGCACCTTTAAGATCAACAGAGTTTTATTCAAGGTATAAGCTTTCAAGCACACGCACGCTTCTTCAGATGTATCGACATGGAAATTACCACTCCATACATAAAAGTACAGGGTGAGCAGTAAATTAGTATACAGCGTAATGAAGATGCTTAACAGATTCAAGAACCAAACAGGAATAACAGGGTTAGTTTATAGGGTTACCATTTAATTCCAGGGGAAAACACAGTAAAGGAAATAAACATGTCGGAATTGGGAGACTGATTGTGGAATGCTGACAGTAATTGACTGAGATTCCGCCGTTACGTCTCCATTAATCTGTTACCCAAATTGGCTGTCTCTTATTTAATTGGGGAAATTAGCTTAATTTGAGGCAGCGAGAGGGGGTAACTGGGAGTCTCCCCTAATGTATACCAGGATCTTTCCCTTAGAGAACTCTCAAAAATAAACCAGTCAGGTACTCAAGCAATTCATTAGCCTCATCCAACATTGGCTTCTCTTATGTTCTTAAATTGTTTTGTGGAAAGAGAAATAAAAGGGCTAAACACACACACAAACACATTTAAAAACATAGAAGGGTTAGCGAAGAGGACATCAGGGAGGAAAGAGGGAAAGCTTTTTGGGGGGGGTCAACATTTAATGAAGAGAAGAGAACACATGGAGTGGGGGTGTGGCCAAGAATACACACACACACAGCCATGGATCAGCATGCTATATAGGGAAACTGTTTCCTGGGACTGTGCTGAGTGACTGCCCCAAAAATAAACAAAGATTTTGGGGCGCCTTGGATGGTTCTTCGTGAGTTGCACTCTAGTTGTAAATATTGCTTGAGAGCCCTTTGATTACATAGCATGATTACAAGATGATGCGTGGGATAGAGCAGGTAGAGAAAGAGGTACTTTTCTCCCTTTCCCACAATACGAGAACATGTGGGTAGTCCATGAAATTGCTGAGCAGTCGGGTTAGAACGGATAACAGGAAGTCCTTCTTCACCCAAAGGGTGATTTTAACACATGGAATTCACTGCCACAGGAGTGAAGCATGGACGGCTTCATGTGGGAATTACATAAACATATGGAGCAGAGGTCCATCAGTGGCTATTAGCCGCAAGGTATAGCTAGGAACTGTGTCTGGGGCAAGTGATGCTCTGTTGTTGTTTTTTTCCTTGGGGGAACGACAGTGGGAGGGCTTCTGGAGTTCTGGTCCCACTGCTGGACCTCTTGATGGCACCTGGTATTTTTGGCCACTGTGTGACCCAGGGTGTTGGACTGGATGGGCCATTGGCCTGATCCAACATTGGCTTTTCTTATGTTCTTAAAGTTGATTCTACTGAATGTGTGGTGCTCCATTCTCGTTTCGGTCTTAAGCCCTGTTTCCATTGGGCAGCTTGTAAAAAACAAAGGAAACGGCACCTATGCATGTCATAGGGCACAAAATATTCTTTGGCGACCTCAGTCTGTTTCCACTGATCTCAGGACCTCTCTGTTCTTGGTCTCGCCACAGGCACGTGATGCTGCCAAAAGACATTGCGAAGCTGGTCCCGAAGACCCATCTCATGTCTGAGTCCGAATGGAGGAATCTCGGTGTACAGCAGAGCCAGGGCTGGGTTCACTACATGATCCACGAGCCAGGTGGGTCGCGGGGGCAATCTTTTGATGTCAGCTGAGGCTAGAGAGGGAGGGACTTTGCTGGGGGGGGGAGGGAATGCCAAGCGACACCTGGTCTTGGCGAAGCTGGAAATCTGAGAGCCAGTTTGGTGTAGCGGTTAGCGCATACTCCTCCATATGCAGCTGCTGGTGTGACCTTGGGTCAGTTACAAGTTCTCTCAGGAGCAGTTCTCGAGAGAGCTCTCTCAGCCCCACCTACCTCACAGGGTGTCTGTTGAAGGGAAAGAAAAGGAGATTGTAATCCTCTCTGAGACTTTTGGGTAGTGAAGGGCAGGGTATAAATCCAGTCTCTTCTTCTGTAGGGTAGTTGTATGTTGTATACTGTTCTTTTTGTCTTCTGAAGAAGGCTCTTGTGGGCCAAAATGCGTCAGGTCATATATGGTGCTTGGTGCATTTGTTACTTCGATGACTTTATGAGGCTTTATTGGGGCCCCTAAAAGGTTTTTATATGTTTTTTAAAGCAAACGTGTATACCTATTGACGTTTTTAACTTTTGGCCCTTTACCTGTTCTCTAAACTTCCTTTGGAGGTTTTTGGTTGGTTGGTTTAGTTCTCTTCCCCTCTTTTCCTGAGGGAAGGGTATGAGGCCGTTTGACCCTTTCCTGTTGAGGTGCAAGGGAAGACTAGATCGCAATAGGTACTTCAGACAAACAGGATTTGTTCTTGTTGCCCTAACCTGGATAGCCCAGGCAACCCCGATCTCATCAGACCTCGGGAGCTAAGCAGGGTCAACTCTGGCAAGTACTTGGATGGGAGACCTCCTGGGAATACCAGAGGCAGGAGGTGGGGGCAGGCTTTATTCAGCCACCTCTGAATATCCCTAACCCCCCCCGCCCCAGTGATCACCAGAGGTCACCATGACTTCCAGGTACACACTCACATGTACTCTAAAAAAACACCAAGTTTTGATCTTGTTACAAGGAATCTGTGAAATACAATCAGGTTTGAATCTTGCTGGAATCGTAGGTGGTGTTTGCGTGTAGGGGAAAGGGCTGGTTTTCTTACGGGAAGGGGTTCCAGTCCCAAGTTTCTCAGGTTTTCATATTATGTAGGAAGTTGGGAACATGCATGCACACAAATTATCAAATGCAGCATCAGTGCATGAGATCTCAAGAGTATAACAGAGTTGATGCTCTCAAAATGAGGCACCAAGGGGGTACCGGTCATAGTAAGCCAGTGCGGTGTATATTGGTTATAAGACTGGTCTCGGACTTCAGATCCCTTGAGTTCACAGAGTGACACTGAGCCAGTCACTTTTTCCCAGCCTAAAGCTCCCTCACAGGTAGTTTATCTGTAGGAAGGGGGAGAATGCAATAAGCCATGCTGAAGGGCAAATAGGAGATACAGGTATTAGCCATAAAGAGCGATGTAAAGCTGCCCACTTCCAAGCTGTCCATATGTATTTCTCTTTGGCAGAGCCATTGGCTCTAGCCAACAGGTGGCACAGCATGTGTTTAATCTGGCAAAATAAGATTAATCCCAGAGCACTAGCCAGGAGGGACGTTTATCACCACCAGAGCAAGAAGCTGTTTGATCCGAGTCATCGTCTCATATAAGCAAGGGGTCTCCTTTGTGGAAGCTGGAATCAGTGGAGAAGGCCCGGGACCCCTGTTGACTGGAAGAATCTCGTCCTAAGAAGTCTCCTCCAGGACCCTTCTAATTACAGACTGGAAGCAATCATGGCTTTCAGTCGCAGGACTGGGACGGCAGACAAAACCAACCCACCCTGCAAGGTTGCCTACTCGCAGAGCGAGTGTGACATCCTTGCTTATAGGGGAAACGGTTTTACCTTTAAACACTCTCTGAGTACATAAACTTGGTCATTTTATGCTGCCACCAGAAATTAAAATTCCAATTCTCTCTCTTTTGGTAGTATGATCTAGGATCTGGGCACTTCAGAGGACTATGTGGCCCTGAGGAAGGACTGTACTGATTTCTGGGATAAGTTTAAACAAAAATTGATTTACTTAACCAGAAACCTATTTTGTTCTTTATTATTTTGAACAGTTGCTGAAGAAAGGAACTTGTAAATATAACTGGCAAAGCTTGGTGCCACAAACAGGCTCTCAAACTCCACTCTGACAGGCTCATACACTCCGTATACTCTCTCTCATATATAAAGCCATACAGGCTAGTCTGTTTGTTTTATTCACACTGAATAGAATCAACTCTCTTAGTCACACAGACTAAACTGTTGGTCTTATTCACACAGAATTAGATTCAGAATTCCATAGTCACACAGACTATGTTCTCTCCTCAAGCTTCACACCCAGAATCACACACACACACACAGATTCCTCTCAGAACATCCCTCCTCCCACACTCTGTCAGCAGCCAATCCAATCACACTTGTCACCCTCTATCACTCTTCTCATATTACTGCAAACTAAACATTTAAAGGGACACACACACCAAAACATGGAATCATTACAGTGAGTCTTCAAAACAAGTTACTTTGGTAGCTGTAGCTGGCCTGGGTAAGATGCTGGATTCAGGTGGAAGCCTCCAGAACACAAGAACACTCCAAAATATAGTTAATGTGCTTTATTGAAAGGGTGTGCGGGAATATGCAAAGAACAGTGCGAATAAAAGAACCAACGCTAAATAGCTAGTCCTACGTATTTACAAAACAGTGGTTAGTCCTAGACATTTATTAAACAATGCTTCTCTAATCCAGAGGTACTTAATGAGTCAGAGTCCAAGATAGTTTCAAAGTCCAAAATCAACAGGTGTCCAGCTGTCCTGGCCCACCCCAATCAAAGTGTCCAAAAACAAAGCTCTAGGCCAGGAACAAGACCTAAGCCAAGCTCTCAAGCTATGGTAAGAGCTCCACATTATGACTAAGCGGACAAACTAGAATCTTACTGTATGCCTTATGGTCTGCGCTGGCAAGATTCAGGCTAGCCAATCAAAAGTAGGCCCGATTGTGTAACCCAAACGGCCATTGGGTGGTGCTGAACAGGTGAAATAACCAATCAGGCGAGATTGCCAGTTAGTATCTGGTGTTCTGCCATTACATCAGATCCAGTTAAGAAACTCCCATAAATTCTTGCATTAACGAGAGGGACTGTGCAGGCCTCTTAGGGTGACCTTGGAACCTTTAGGGCTGATGATACCCCTAGCATCGATGAACTCTGCCTCCCATCCACCCCTCTCTCCCTCCCTCTCTCTCCCTCCCCTCCCCTCTGTTTGGCCTTGGTGCTCAGAGAGCAGGGATTTCCCATGTTCTGCATGGTCTCAGCCTGAACCAAAGTTTTGAGTCTGAACAAGAGGCTATGAAGAGGCCTAGCCTAGTCTCTTGACTGTTATCACAGCACTGCAGAGTAGAAAATGTTGTAGACAAGGCTGGGATTTATAAGAAGCTGGTAGATGCACTGGACATTAGACCATTAACTTGTGAGCGTAGTTGTGGTTGTTTAGGGGCTCTGATTAGGGGTTGGAGCACATTCCCTGTGAGGCAACTAAGGGGCGACACGATAGGGATTTATAAAATTACACATGAGGTGGAGAGAGTTGACAAAAGGGAAATTTTTCTCGCTCTCCCAAAAGAGTAGAACTCATGGGCATCCAGTGAAGCTGATGGGCAGTAGTTTCAGGACAGACAAAAGGAAATCCTTACACACAGAGTGATTAGAATGTGGAATTTGCTGCCAGAGGAAGTTGTGATGGCCCCAGGAATAAACAGCTTTAAAAAGGGATTCAACAGTTTCATAGAGGAATGGTCTATTAGTGGTTACTAACCATGGCGACTAAAGGGAACCTCCACATTCAGAGGCAGTTAGCCTCTGAATCCCAGTGCCGGGGGGGGGGGGGCAACATCAGTGAAAGGCCTCTACTTCTATGCCCTGTTGTTGGTGCTCCAGGACTAGATGGACTCTCACTGGTCTGCTCCAGCAGGGCTCTTCTGATGCCCTTATGAGGGGAAGGCCTCGGCCTCTCTGCCCTGTTGCTGGCCCCCCAGAGGAACTGGTTGAGGCCACTGTGTGAGACAGGATGCTGGACTAGATGGACTCTCACTGGTCTGATCCAGTAGGGCTCTTCTGATGCCCTTATGAGGGGAAGGCCTCGGCCTCTCTGCCCTGTTGCTGGCCCCCCAGAGGAACTGGTTGAGGCCACTGTGTGAGACAGGATGCTGGACTAGATGGACTCTCACTGGTCTGATCCAGTAGGGCTCTTCTGATGCCCTTATGAGGGGAAGGCCTCGGCCTCTCTGCCCTGTTGCTGGCCCCCCAGAGGAACTGGTTGAGGCCACTGTGTGAGACAGGATGCTGGACTAGATGGACTCTCACTGGTCTGATCCAGTAGGGCTCTTCTGATGCCCTTATGAGGGGAAGGCCTCGGCCTCTCTGCCCTGTTGCTGGCCCCCCAGAGGAACTGGTTGAGGCCACTGTGTGAGACAGGATGCTGGACTAGATGGACTCTCACTGGTCTGATCCAGTAGGGCTCTTCTGATGCCCTTATGAGGGGAAGGCCTCGGCCTCTCTGCCCTGTTGCTGGCCCCCCAGAGGAACTGGTTGAGGCCACTGTGTGAGACGGAATGCTGGACTACATGGACTCTCACTGGTCTGACCCAGCAGGGCTCTTTTTATCATCTTAGGTTGTCTGGAAGAAGTTTCAAAGAAATCAAAGTGGACTGGACAGCCAGGCCCTGAACTCTACTTGAGAGCGTTTAACATGTCGTTTCCTCTCTCCCTTGCAGAGCCCCACATCCTGCTTTTCCGAAGGCCCTTGCCAAAGAAGCCAGAAAAGTGACTCGTGGATAAAAGTTCTCAGAAGTTTTAGATGCAAGCACCTTTTTTAAAAAGTTTGACAAATTTTAAATTGTTTTTTAAAAGTTTGACAAATGTTTTGCTACATCTGTCGAAAGAATGCCCCTGGATGAGACCCACGTCCAGCCCAGCTTTCCTCACTTCAGAACAACTGTCTGTCAAAAGGGACTGAATTGGCCGAGTAAACGGACTTCATAACAGCTGAAACACAATTTTTTTACACTGTCTTTCACAGCTGATGGCTGCCGCTTTTTTACGGAAGCTGTCTAGTTTGGCTTTTTACATCCAGGAATTTCTCAGTGTGTTTCTCTGGTTGGATTTCTTTTTAATATGTGTGTTCTAAATCTTATATTTCAAGTTCTCCTTTTGGAACTTTTAAAGTTATTTTAGATATGACTGTTCTTATGGCTCTTTCAATAAAGCACCAACATTTTACCTTGTCTTTTATTCCTGAGACAAAATTTTGGGGAAATTCTGTTTGCTGCTTAAATACTTTGAATTTACAGGTTGCAAGTTGTAGTGAGCTCTAGACATTCTGCTCATCGAATCTCTGTCTAGAGGAGAGGAATTCATGCCATTCGCTTTGCCAGGCCTCTACACAGACATGGCGATGTGTCTCTGTAAGAACTCCATGACACAAAGTATACAGGTGTACGTCTGAGGTTCAATCCCCAGCAGCCACAGTTTAAGGATCTTGGGCCTGATTTATACATTGTGAGCAGTGTTCCCTCTAAGCTGAGTTAGTGTGAGCTAGCTCACAGTATTTTAGCCTCTGGCTCACACATTTTTGTCTTAGCTCAGGCAGGATGGCTCCAGAGCAGACTAATTCATGCAGCAGCCAAATGCTGGCTCACAACTTGAATGTCAGTAGCTCACAAAGACTCCACAGGACTCCAAGACTCCACAGCTCACAAGACTCCACAGCCTAGAGGGAGCATTGATTGTGAGTGCATGTGGTGCTAGAATAGACCATACCATGGAACATCTTGGGGGGGCATTACATTTTTGGAATGCTTACTTCGCTCATTGTTCTCTGCAAACTGAAAACTAGCACAGCAAACAAAGGAAATGAGCTGGGAGCTTCCCTGCTTTGCTAGCGTTCTGCTTGTGTGGTGTGAATATTTGAAGAAGTGTGCAAAATCGGACCCCAGCCGCCTGCAGCGGTGCAGTCCACTGAACGGCTTTATTTTCCTGCATGTTTAAAACATGTTCGTGAGCAAGTATTAGACAGTAAACTTGCTGGAGAGTTTTATTAGATAACAATACAGGGGTTGCAGTATCAACAACTAATAACAGAAATACTGCAATTGTATTGCCTGCTTGAACACAGAAGGTTCCAGGTTCAATCCCTGTCATCTCCAGTTATAAAGGATCAGGTAACAGGTAAAGCTAAGGTATTCATGGATATAACTCAGGTTGTTTTCTCTTAATAACGCTTGTTTGAAACATAATCCACATTTAAAACGTCATCACTAAATGCCGGCAGGTTACGAACATCAGGGTATTATAAAGGATCAGAGTTGTGCAAAACGCTCAGGTTTGTATAGGGGTCATTTCCTGCGGGATCGCACAGGAGCAGAGCTCCAGCAGTAAGGAGCCCAGGGGACGGGCACATGCAACAAGCCCACTTTAAAAGTGTTCTTTTTATTTTGTTCTGCTGGGTATATACGGCTGCCATCAGGAAATTTTAAGGATGTCCAAACCTTTATACTTTTACTTCTGCTCTTACTGGTTAGGTAGACCGAGTTCAAGGCTTATGAGGAACTATGTGGTCCTGAGGAAGTATTTCTTTCAGATCTGGTATACTTGAATAAAAGAGGATTTATTGAAATAATTCATAAATAAAAGGGTAGAACAATGTAACTATTAATGTGTAAATAATGAACAATTTCTTGGTGTATCACACACAATCTGCTCCCTTACTGACAGGGATCTTTCAGGTAACTTTGTAACACTTTAACTCAAGGTCATATATCTTCACTGTTTCTCTCCAGGACATACAGCCTTTCCTATAACTTGTCTTCAATTAAACTTTTATTTATTTGTTCCTATTCTCTCAGCCTTCCTTCTGTTTCTCACTAAACTAACTTATTCCACACAGGACTGCTTCTCACTTCCCTCACACACAGAACTCACTGAACTTATCAACTGTCAAAAAGTGTAACTGTAAAACCTGATTGACATACATACTCATCCACTCATTTTCACTTCCAAAACCCCTCCCCCTCTCTGTCAACCACCAATCATACCACACTTGCCTCTCTCAACCACTCTATCTACAACCGCCATGCAACCAAACTTTTAAAGAGACACGCACACACAAAAAACAAGGAATCCTTACACTGTCCAATAAGTAAGTGGGTCTTAGATTGTAAAGCTCCAAAATAGCACCTTGATTTGAACCCAGAAAGAAGCTGTAATTAGTGTAAATGTAAAATTTCCACAATATAACTAGACCTACTTGACCATGTCAGCAACTGGACTGCTGCATTTTGTGCCAGCTGATGTTTTCAAGTTGTGTTCAAGGGTGGTTCAATGCAGAATACAATGCAGTAGTCAAGCCTCATGAAGCTGATGGGCAGTAAGTTCAGGATGGACAAAAGGAAATGCTGCTTTATACAGAGAGTGATTAAAAAGTGGAATTTGCTCCCAGAGGATGTAGTGTTGGCCACAGGAACGGACATCTTTAAAGGGGGATTAGATAGATTAATGGAGGATATGTCTTTCAATGGCTACTAGCCATGGTGACTGAGGGGAACCTCCACATTCAGAAGCACTAATCCTTTGAATCCCAGAACCAGGAGGCAACAGCAGGGGAAGGCCTTGTCCTCAGTGTTCTGTTGTGGGCCCTCCGGAGGAACTGGTTGAGGCCACTGTGTGAGGCAGGACTAGATGGACCCTCACTGGTCTGATCCAGCAGGGCTTCTCTTATGTTCTTATGAGGGGAAGGCCTCGGACTCTATCCTGTTGTTGGCTCTCAAGAGGAACTGGTTGAGGCCACTGTGTGAAACAGGAGGCTGGGCTAGATGGACCACTGGTGTGATCCAGCAGGGCTCTTCTTATTTCGAAGTGCAGAAAATAATCCTGTCTGAGTGTGTGTGTTTCCCCAGCCCAATTTGAGAAAACACTCAGTACAATCCTGTAGAGCAGAATCAGATCTTGCACCTTTCCTGGATCCACCCCCGAAGTCTCCAGGTATTTTCCAACCCAGACCTGGCAACCCTAAAGACCATTCGGTCTTTTGAGCCCTGTGAAGCGGCAAAGGGCAAACACAAGGACCTCCTCAGTATGACAGATGTCTTTTTTTTCTTTTTCTTTTTTTTGGTGTCCCTCTTTTGGGCTCTTACAAACGGATGAAAATGTCCTCTTTTCGGGTTGGAAAGTTAGGAATATTCCTAGCCAGGAGCAATTATCACCGCTTAAAGAGGAGGAGCATTTAAAATGAGATTTGTCATAGTGATCATTTGTCTGAAGTAGTCACTCGGGAAACCTGTCCTCTTTCTGAATTTTGCAAAGTATGGCAACCCCAGATTGCACCTATAGCGGACTTTGGTGCCCACGGTGGCTTTTTGTAAACAATGTTGTGTCGCAAAGCCTGCTGGGGAATGTAGTTTTCCCGCAGTGCTCTGCCTTCTGGACAAAGAGCAATCAGGCTGGTACGGAAAAAATCATTGTGACCAATCAGAGGTTTCGAATAGCCATTCGTTTTCCCTCCCTCGTTTACCCTGCTGTCCAATAGGTGAGGAAGTAGTGGCTGGAGCAGCCAATGGCAAAGGAAGGCTGGGAGCGGGTGGAGATTCGAGTCGCTTTGAGCTTGGACGGTGGGTAAGTGCGAAGGAAGCGGGGAGAAAACCTGTCGTGAGTTGGGGCTTCGCAAAGCTCAGCAGCGGGATAGATTTTTTAGTATTAAGAACTCGTCCCTGGAGAATCTGAACTCACAAACGAGGGTGCCTCTGAGCGTGTGCAGAGTGCCTCTCCCTTTCCTTACAGGGTGGGCTTCCTATTAGATTTCAGGGACCGTGGTGGTCAGGCGAAAACGTATTCGTGCAGGCTTGAATGCTGGGACCCCTACTTTTTAACCAAATATCTGGCTGGGAATCGGCTTGCCAATTTATGAGCTCCCGCCTTCCTGCTGTGTAGTTGTGCTCTTGACAGCAGTTTAGAGCTGATGATCCTGTTTTGCTCCAAGGTAAGACAAGCTATTATTTCTACCTCTTAAAGCAGGGGTGTGAAACATGCGGCCTGAGGGCTGTGGATCAGACCCCCCCCCCCCCGCTTCTATCAGGCCCACAGTGGAACTGGCTGTCTTCTGCTTCTTCTTCCAGTTCTGCCGCGTCATCGTAGGTTTGCAGCTTACAGAGACACACCTGAACAGCCATACTCAAGATTGCAACAGCACAGACATTTTGATGCAATAATTCAGAGCAAGAGGTGTCAGTTATCAGACACTGTTAAATAAACAAAACATTGCAAGAGGGCTAATGTTTGAAGCATGTTTTTAAGTTTTAAAAAAGCCCTTTGTGTTTGTGTCCTTTATAAAGTTAATATCTCCGCTACCTGGCACACACATGGCCCGACCCAGCAAGGTCTCATTTATGTCAGATCCGGCCCGTGTAACAAATGAGTTCGACACCCCTGTCTCAAAGCTTTCCCAAAAGGCACAGGAGCAAACGAGGATTGTGGTCCTGAGTAACTGGCAACCTGGGCTCTTGGGTCCTAGGTTGGGTGGGGGATGTCTGTTGGCATGGCATGAACGCCAGGATTCCTGGGTGCCTTGGTTGGCAAGGGGGGATGCTGCTGGTTATTGTGGTTTTCAGCTGCAGGCTGCTTCAAGCGGGGGATGCCAGCCTCCAGGTGGGACTTGGGGGATCCCCTGCAATTACAGCCCATTTCCCGACGACACTTCCCCTGGAGAAAATGGATGCTTTGGAGAGTGAACTCTACGGCATTGCAACCCACTGAGGTCCATGTCCTCCGTGCACCCCCAAATCTCCAGGAGTTTCCCGACCTAGATCTGGCAACCCTACTCCCCCCCCCATCAATGTTCCCTCTAAGCTATGGAGTCTTGTGAGCAAAAATGCTACTTTGTGAGCTCCTGGCATTAAAGTTGTGAGCGAGTGATTTGGCTGCTGCATAAATTGGTTTGCTCTGGAGCCCTCCGTCCTGAGCTGAGACAAAAATGTGTGAGCCAGAGGCTCAAAAACCGTGAGCTAGCTCACACTCACTCAGCTTAGAGGGAACATTGCCCCCCATCCCCTGCTGGTGGCAGGAGGGGGGTGAACCTGGCAACCCTAAGGATTCTGAATCGTGGTTGAAATATTCTCAATAAATAGGAAAGGGAGAACTGATGAGTTGCCAAGGATTGGGGGTGTGTGTGTCTTAGCTACTTTCCGCCTTTATTGCCTGTGAAAGCAGGTGATC